ACTGACGAGGTAGCCTCGGATGGTTCCGGTTCAAGTTGGAGGTGGTTCAAAAAAAGACCTTTTGGGGCTTCAATAAGTTGCCTTTGCTTGGCTCTGAACGTCAAAGTGTTTGAATGGAATAACAAACTTTTCAAGGCCCAGAAAGTTTTTTTTTCATTTCCCAGGGCCAAAGGCATCTTCACTTTTGGACCAAAAGACGAGAAGGCACATGGAAACCTGTGCCCCAACCGGAACCTGTGCGGATCGCTAGCTGACGAGGTATGGGCAGGAAACTGGGCAGGAATAACTTTTTCCATCGGGAAAAGTTTATTTTTCACCACTTCAGCAATCCAAATGATACTGTTGTATTAATTTCCTTTCGTGAATTAACGAGGGACAGCCCTAATTTGATGACCCGAATTAGCGGACGAGGACACTAAACGCGGCCAAGAAATTAAGCCCACGAGGGAGACGACCTAAGAAATAAAGTAACTTGCACAGATACATGTGTCGCCCTAAGCAAACATAGAGAAACGAACAGTAAGCCTTGCGTGAGGCCTACCGTAAGATTGGAATTTTTGGAAAGAAAAGACAACACAATATTGAACACCGCACACCTGAAAGAGAGACTTTTGGGGGATACGAAACACCGAAACAGGAGCCCCCCCAGATGTGGAAGCTGATTCTCTTGAAGTCTACAGGAAAGCATGTGGTTGGGTCGAGGAGATGGACATTCCGTTTAGATCTTCTTGTAAAACACTTTTAGTCTATGTCATTGAACCGTTCAATGGTTGAGGACCGGTTCGAGCCTGCTAAACTGGGAAATCGGATGTTCGGTTGGCGCCATAGCCTGGCAAAATTAACATAGAACTCTGGACCTTGGAAGCAATGTTTCTTAGTTCTTCCATGTTTTTTCCTACAAATTTCAATCTGGTTTGAGGGTGCATTGTCTTGAAACCCTGCAAATGGGTCGGCACCGTCCTTCTTTGCTGAGGCTTTCTCTATACTAACTTCATATCAGGCCGGCTTCTGTGAAAATCCTTTGAGTGAGAGATCTTGATGGTGAGTGTAGTCACAGTAGTGAACATGTCATGCTATCCACTGACTTGTTTTATCCACGGAATTGATGGCAGAAGGGCTCAAGAATCGACCATCCTGGTGGGAAGAATCAACACCTATATGGCCACATCCCTCCCCATTCCGGATCAGCCTTGATTCTGATGTTCCCATGTTTAGCCAGGGCCGCCCATCCTGAAGAATGCAGATGCCCACCCCTTTCTGGATTCCACCCAACCTACTGCCAGTCGAACTCCTTAACACGGGTGTTTTTTTGCACATCCATGATTGTTGCTTGGAGCATGCACAAGGCCCCGAGGGCAGTACATGTTGTTACTTCCACCAAGTGCACTACCATGAATATTATAGTGTGACTTGGTGCCCTTCCATGACCATTGCTACTTGTACTTCCACTGCTACCCAGCATTACCCAGCCTTTGTCGTGTCACTTCTTCGTTGAAGGAAGAGTTGATATTGTGTCCCAAAGGCATCCAAAGGCGAGGTGGCGAGTAGATACGGACAAACCATATAGGATCAACACCACCTTAGGTTTGCAGAACATGTGTTCAATCTCCTACACTACGCTTGGTTATTGACTATTAGACCCATAGCCAGAGGTTGCAGGGGTTTTGGATCACCTGGTTTTCACCTGTTGTTGTCAGGATGATTGCACTGGTGCCAGCCAATGCAATTAGATCAGATGATCCTGGCCACTTTCTGGGAAGATACAGAATCCAAAGACGACAAAACTTTACAGAGAACTATAGTGGTCGCCAAATAGATAGAAAGTAGATCCCCACTAAAATGTATTGGAAACCGTTTCTATTTGGGGATTACAATAATATGAACAATGCAGCCTGACTGCGAGGCCCTTTTGAATTCTTTTGGCTTCTACTTTGTCCGGCTTTGGGTTTTCAGAAGGGCTGGCTCCTGAAACACAGCAGTTTAAGGCTATCAGACCAAGTCTGTCCCAGCTCCGTCGAATCTCTCCGTCCAGCCGCGCTGGGGTCTCCGTCTCAGAACGATGACGAGCTCATCGATGCTTTTGATCGTGGGCGAGGCGGGGAGACCCGGGAAGAAGCAGCGTTTCCGGATCGTCGGACGACCCTTTTTTCATCGGAGAAATGGACAAGAACTCGGTAAGTCAGTGAGTGTTGGGGAATTGGACTGGGTTAGTGATAGATTTCTCCTCAGGATCCACTGAAACAAATTTCGACGGTGGGACTAGATGTTTGGGGTACCAGGAAAGTTCATTCACAGGTCTATGCACACCTTTGTGGTGCAAGAGGAATAACGCAAAGACTTGCGTTGCTGCAGCATGGGTAAACTTGCAGGATCGGAGTTGCAAGGCCTGGCTCCTACTGGTGCTGACAACATACACATCAGAAATAGGTCAGATGACACCCAAGTGACTGCGAAAAATCAGCACAGTACACTGTGACTACACCCTGATGTCGCTTCAATTGGGCAGCCAGAGCCAGAGCCAGCTTCGGCAAGCATCACTACTTTGATCATGCAGTCCAATCTGATGGCCTCTATGCTCTCCGAACTCATCGAACAGCATCATCGAACTGGGTGTGGGTCAAAACAGTGCTATTTGACCAGAGAAAATGAACACTTGGGATAGGCATCAGCATTGCAGGCATCAGCCTTATCAACCACTGTATAAAGCGTTTACCTCAAAAACATCACCCGGTGACCCCGAAAAAGGATTCCCCATGTCCGAGTAACCCCATATATTGCCGACCCTGATCTTCATCCCATCTCCAAATCAGACTCCTTGTGGAACGGTTCCCCATGTCCGACATGTCCGGCCACGGCGACGGATCCAGGCCCTTCGGGATGTCAGCGCTGAGCTGTTGATGTTCGTCCTCGCAGCCTTGGTCTATGTGCTGGCCACCCGGGCGCTTCATGTGCCCTCTGGAGCGGAAGGGCTGGGAGACGGGATGAACGGATCTTGAAGGCGGAAGGGCGGAAGGGCATGTGGGACTGTGGGGTAATGTGGTGCTAAACTGTGTACTTTTCGATTATTACTAGAACCAGCTAGACACCAGCTAGACGATTTGGGTACATTCTGCAGAGAAAGTCGACATGCTTTAACGCCATGCCCGGCCGTGGCTGGGGTGGGTTCCCTCCCGGAGTCAGAGGGACAACCACCGCAGTCCTTTTTGGTGAAGAGAGTCCGGGCCTCTTTCGGGTGGTGAGGCCTCACATTGCATGCGTTTATTGAAAGCACAGACATACATATTCCATTAACATTATGTAACTATACCCACGTTTGTTTTACAGGACTTCCTTTGTCGCTGATACCAATCTATGAGCTCACACCCAGATGTTACAACAATGTACAATGTTTGCCATTTTGCCTTTGTTTATAGATGAAAATACAAGGTATGATCCGACTTGTGAATATTCCCTACAGGTACCGAAGAAGAAAGCAGGCCAGCCGACCGCTGCCGAAGGTTTGGGATCAGTTCATATCAGTTTTATTTCTTTTTTTTAAATGTGGAACGGCGACCTTGGAAGATGTATAGTATCAGGAGACCCTGATTTTATATATGTGTTCTATTTGTATTAAACTACATAGATGAATAACATTATCATCCAAGCACTCTCCATTCAAGCGTTCTCTTTGCACTGGGCAGCTTGCTACCTTGCCTTCGGAGTCTACGGGCTTGTTGTACCTCTTCTCTTCTGTCTGTTCCACCAACTGGTTCGAAGGAGGAGTTCTAGTGTCATGCAAGGCTTCAACTTCTTTGAGGCTGTTGGCTGTGACGTTGCTCTTCCTCTTGCACTGTCTTGGGATGAAGGAGAAGATCTTGGATGGTGATTATTTTGACAACAAGTCAGTTGATGAACCTGAAGCTGAAGAGGTAGACTGCTTCTCTTTTGGTGACTCTTTTTTGAGATGATGACGATGATGGTTCTTCAGCTCAACATCCTCAACAACAGCACCAAGCTTCTGGTGATGGTGTTTCTTCTGTTGATGAGAACAAGAAGCTACCTACTTCCACCTCTGATGTACCCAACTGACAAGAAGAAGAATATGAAAGAGAACTCCCAAGTCCTTCTTGAAGGTAGGAGAGGTCTCTACGTTGCCAAGAAGCCCCTGAATGAATGTCTAGCATGTCCTGAGAGCCGGAAGCTGCTCGATCAGCAACTTGCCAAGGCTACAACATCAAGTGGTAAAGACTACGCTCTCAAGCCCTACGTTGATGACTCCGGCAACAAGCTCTCTGGTGGAGCATGCTTCATTTTTCTCAAGCAAGATTGTACTCCAACTCCAACCTTCTTCGACTCTGCTGACGTTGCCAAGAGGTATCTTGCTTCAGCTGGCCACAAGAAACGGTTGAAGGAGAAGGATGGGTCTCAACCACAACACTCAAGGCCTCGTTTGATTACTGAAGACTTGGCTGCCATCGGCAGTAGGCTTCTTGGACTCCCAGCTGGTACTGCTGGTGGTACGGGTTGGGCGGTCTCTTCATCTGAAGGCATGACCCGAAAAAAACATGTCTTCGATGGTCGTTTTGATGCCAAGATCAGAGATCTGGCACCGTCTGGAGAGTTCAAGGTGACTGGTTCTGCACATGGCAAGGAGCTTCAAGTCCCTACTGACAAGGACAGGGTAGTCAACTTCAACGCGACTCCAAGCTTCTCGCAGACACTTGCACCTCTTCCTGCTGCTCCAGCTGATGTGCCTTCATCACCATTTGTCTACGTTGTTCCCTCTATCCAGGATCTCAAGGGGAACCCTTGCATCGCCGTCTCACTTGTTGATGTGTTTGACCTGAAGCACACAGGTCATGGTCGACCTGTGCACGTCGACTAGTGCGATCGAGAGCTGGCGACAGTGGAGAACCCCAGCGATCCCATCGTCTTTGAGGACGGATCTGGGAACAAGAAGATCTACTCACCTTCCTAGCTGCCTTCCTACCTGCACCCAAATGGGTGTTGCAGGATCTCAGAGGATCCTGCTTGCAACCCGGCCAACCAGGCTGGGAAGCGAGAACTGTAGACTCTGTCTCTTGACGGGGTCTACTTCTAGATATCCTCGTCCAACTCACTCGTAGTTGGACGGTCTCTGGCCCAACACACTCGTGCGACCGGGCTGTTGATGTCCTCATTTGTTTGCTACTCGTGCGGACAGAATGAGATCTGCATCCTACTCGTTGAACGAGCATGGATCCCATGTGCCTTCAGGCTGTGTAGGCGGTTCTTTTGATCTGTCAAATTTTCATCCCGCGCATGCTGTCAGAGTGATGAGTGATGTCTCTTGAGCACCCATACTCAGGCGGTGGTGTGGATCTGCCACAGGTGGTGAAGCATCTGCTCTCTGGACTTCTTGTCTTTGTCTACTTGATCGCAAGTGTGCGCGTGTTCTCGTCCGATCAACTGGTTGGACTTGTTTCCAGGGAACCAAACAGCATAGATGAATAACTATAACATGCTATATAACTATATAACATAGATGAACAACTAAATATAACATATATAATACTGTTATTTAAAGAAAGTCTTAGAACACCCTGCTTTAGGACACCCAAACTTCCTGGTGCAGCAGCTGAGTGACAGATCTGATGATGCGAAAGATGATCCTGGTTGTGGCTTTGGTGTGATGTCTATGTTCCCTATGGAGACCAAGTGATCTAACCTATGCCCAGGTATCGTCTCCTGGTATCTCCTGGTATCGTCTCCTATCTAACCTGGAGACCATATTTTTAGACTTATTATATACGCAAATCCAAGTGATACTTGTTGGAGTCAAGCAGCGTGGCGGATCGGGGACTGGAGCTGAAAGTTTGGTAGCTTCTTTGCTCTCCAAACAAGGACGCCACATGGACGCGGAGTTCATAGTGAAAACCAGACCATCCCGCAGTTCTCCATGCGGCCTATGAAGTGATTTGTTTAAATGCTGGCGGCTGCGGATAGAGAGTGTGGGGATCCAAGCCTGCCATCCACTGTGGGTCAGAGTCACCCTATAGTTAAAGTATGTTAAAGTTCCATTCCACCAACAGATGAACACGCTGAGACAATGACCAGTTTTAAACTTGCTTGTTATGACTTATGACCAACTGGCGGGATCACCGACTTCCCTCGTGTGTTCTTCTCGCCGCTAATTCCGCTCGCCGCTAAAAGATCATCCGCTCCATTCCGCGCAGGGCCTGAACCCGAAGCAAAAGCGAAGCGGGTGGTCGAGCGCAAGGTCGGACGGAAGGAGATGGAGGAGACGAGCTGAACCGCACGGCGGGCAGCGGCGGGCGGCCGGGTTGGACTGCCCCAGCGCACCCCAAAGCTGTTGGCATGTTTCTCCCCCGAAGCCTTCCTGCTTTCTCCAGGAGACCGCCGAAGTCTACCACAGTCTTTTGCAGAGCACCAAGAGACACTTGGACGAACCGAAAGAGACGCTCAGGGCCTGGGGATGTGGTCGAGTTTGCACATGACGAGGGGGGCGATGTGGTCGAGTAGTGAAGACATGAAGCATTTTAAGAAGACATGCTGCACGTGACAGGGATATAAAAACCATGGAGCACAGAGTGCTGCACGGGCTAAAAGTAAAGAGTGGATATGAGGGGAGTCTATATCCCAGACACTCCATGGGACTGACATATATGCCTACATTGACCCCTAAAACCACCTCAATGTAGAGCACATATGGCATGCATGGAGTGTTTGGGTACATTTCATTTTGGAGTTTCCATTCAAATAGGCCTTTGGACCCCTGAAAACTCCGGTGTTCCAACCCATCATTGCCATCCAGCATCTATCACACTCGGAGAATCATAGAGAAATCGCCAACCATCAACTGAAATTTCAATATTCATCATCATGCAGGGAAACAATGTAGAAACATACCTGATCTTTCAAATTCTGCGCATGCCGTCCCTTTGCAGAATCAGAAGTGTTTTTTCTACCAAATGAACCCTCACATGCACAGCAGATTCTGATTGGATTGGATCAAATCCCAAAACCGCAGTGCTACAGTAGCACAAATCCAAGCACTTCTCAAATGCCTCAAAATGGCCCATACGCCTTACTAACCCCCCAAAAACTCCAAGAAAAACCAGCAACATACCACACCCAGCCGACCCTTGGTACTTTCCAACTCCAATGCTTGACCCTTCCGACCGACCCTCCGACCTTGGCAGTGAGGCAATGAGGCATCACAGGTTCTGATCTCCCTGGAGCAGTTGGATGCGTCACAGCGAGCGGCCTTGCCCCTGCAGCTGGCCGTCAAGGCAAGGCCGCGCTCCCGACGCGGACGACGACGCGATCGCAAGCCACGCGTATCGGCGCGTACCAACACGGGCGCAAGCCACGCGACGCGGACTGATGATGTTTTTTGTTTTTGTTTTTTCTGGTGTGTTGGGAAAGCAGCAAGTCTGAGAAAGTATAGTTTGCTGCTTGAGGTTTATGATAGAAGCGATTTACTGAAATATACGATTATAATGGCTACCGCCTGGACAATTTATTTGGAGGGGTGGGGTATGTTCGCCAAATAATTGTTTTCAAATAAATTTTTGAGACGTTAGTTTTTGAGTATGGGATGAGGTGGGTCTATATTTTGTTCAAATTTTAAGAACAGTTAGGTATACCCTGAACTAATTTACCAAGAACACCTAGAGCACCCCCAAATAATTTACTGAAAATCTACATCTTGGATGACTGATGGAGGTTGTAAAAAAGTTGTAAAATCTGTTCAGATGTCAAAGAGCGAGCGACTTTGAATTACGAAAGCCAGCCTTCCTAGAAGGCGCCAGCTGAGTTGTGCTTGGCGAACGAAGTGAGTAGTTAGGGGGTCTGGGGGGGGTGGCCCGCAAAAGGTACACGTAAACTCGGCACATGCTGGGGGAGGAGGGTGCATCGAGGGAAGGTTTTTTGAGGTTGTGTTGGAGGTGATTTTTGAGGGGTGGTGATGCAAGAAATGCAATTTGCATCATTTGCATCATCTGAATGGAAAGGTGTAGTTGGCACCTTGCCAGGTATAGATACCCAGGGTAGCTACAGTGCAGCTACCAGGTATAGTACTTCAAGTTCCCGTTCCGTCAACCGCTCGATAACCTCTACACACGCACAGCAATCCACAGCTTTGAAGCCTCATGCGCGCGATACCTGGGAACAGAATTGTAGCTACCCTGGGTCCGTATAAATGCTATGTTGCTATACCTCTTACACACCTATACAAGTTCAAAGCACGAATGAGACTTCAAAGCTGTGGTTTGCTGTGCATGTGTGGCTCGAGAAAGAAATACGTAAACTCTGGGAGGTGATGCTTTGATGCTTTTGGAGCGGGTGGTGACGCACTCGCCAACTAGAACATATACCCTTCAATTAGGAACTTGAACAGCTCAAATCCAGAAGATTGCTCCCTATGAACCCTGGGAAGACTGGGAAGCGAAGAGGTGGAAACAGCTGGAAGGTCTTGAACTTTTAAGTAAACAAAAGGCCACATTCAAGCAGCAGAAGGACAATGTGCATCCTTTGCTCCCGCTTCGCAGACCTTCATTTTTAAGGTTGTTTTAGGGCAGCAAACCCTGGTCTCAGGCCACCTGGAATTTAGCTTGAAAACCACAGCTTTGAAGCCTCATGCGCGCGATACCTGGGAACAGAATTGTAGCTACCCTGGGTCCGTATAAATGCTATGTTGCTATACCTCTTACACGCCTATACAAGTTCAAAGCACGAACGAGACTTCAAAGCTGTGGTTTGCTGTGCATGTGTGGCTCGAGAAAGATATACGTAAACTCTGGGAGGTGATGCTTTGATGCTTTTGGAGCGGGTGGTGACGCACTCGCCAACTATACCCTTCAATAGGAACTCGAACAGCTCAAATCCAGAAGATTCTGAAAATGGCCTGGCTCCCTATGAACCCTGGGAAGACTGGGAAGCGAAGAGGTGGAAACAGGACAACGTGCATCCTTCTCGCTTCGCAGACCTTCATTTTTAAGGTGGCCAGAACAGAGGATTTTAGGGCAGCAAACCCTGGTCTCAGGCCACCTTGAATTTAGCTTGAAAAACTGAATGTTTTAACAAAAGCCTTGTCACAGAGACACCTCAGGACCCTTGCTTCGCATATCTTCATTTTTGAGGTGGCCTGAACATATGGTTTCGGGCAGCGAGCCTCTGGTCCCAGGCCACCTCGAATTTTGCTCTAAAATCTTTCTACTTGAACGAATGCACTTCCAATCATATGACAATCATTCGTATGTTCAACCAGGTGCAAGATGAGCTGTGCTTCGGCGCGCAGTTGTCGAGAAAGGGAAGCGCTGGCTTTCGCTTCGCAGCTTCTCAGGTTTTCAATTGAGTCAAACATAAGAGGTTTTGATTCAGTTCATTTCCTGCAACATGCTTTGCAGGGTATGCGTGGGGCACAAGATGAAAAATTACAAACACCGGCTGAAAACGTTTGTTCAAACACCAAAGCACTATGATCAATTTTAGAGGGATCATGATCAAACATTGCATGTTTTAATTTCTAATATTTGTTGGTTACACTCTAATATTTTTAATATACTTTTAATAGATGTTCAACTTGATTTTTACATCATGTGTACTCAGAAACCAATAGATATTTGAAAACACCCTGTTGGGAGCCAAATAAGAAAAATAACCCTGACCACCTAAGAATATTGATTAATTATTTGGAGGTGGGTGGGAGTAGGGGGTACCCTGAAGGCAGTACACATCGATTATACTAGATTAGTTTGGTTTGTTCTTTGTTGTTTGGGTGACGATAGTCAGTTTGAAGCTTGAACAGATCTTTTGTGCTTTCATTCTGAATAAACACCCCTTTGGAGTTTCACTGTGGAATACACTGCTACTGGGAGGAGGGGACTCCCCACCATCGTGCGCGTTTTTTCTCTCCACCATCCTCAAGGCATGAGACTATCCCCTTCTCGCGCCTGCCGCCTTATATTGTTAGGATTAGGATGTCTATAATGGATGTCTCATCGAGCCAAGAATGCCGCAATCGAGCCTGCCATCCACTTAGGATTAGGCATTCTTGGCCAGATTGATCTTACTATTTGGCTTACCCTGTGAATCCGGGCTCTCAAATACAGGTTTTGAGGGTCCAGACCCATGCGAAGGTGTTGGGTCCGACCCCTGCCATGGAGGGACAAAGAATTCGTGGGTACTACCAGCATCCTCCAACACATGTTTCCTGATGACAACACGTGCCCAGAAACCACCTCTTAGTCTGGTCGTCGGGCAGCTTCGCGTCACAAGGTGCTCTTGGCTGTGGCACGTTCTAGCGAGGAGGACGGCACAACAGCGCAAGTTTTGGCGGCACGCCTTCAGCAACTGTCCTTGCACTTGGACCTGTGCCCTGACAGCGGAACTGGTTCCAGACTTCGTTTGGAGCACCATGCCGGTCGACGCGCATAAGGTGTGTCAGTGGGATTGGAGATGCGTACTTTCCACATCGGTTTTCCATGGCCTCAACCGAGTCGAACCTCAAGAACGGCGGCTCCATGGTGTGAACCCGGTACGACCGGACCCCCCCGGAAGGAGTGGTTGACAGACCGTTTTCCACCGGGCCACACAACGCCTCAGAGACTCCAGGAGACCAGGTCGTGCCACGTACCAAACGGTGCCTTTTCAGCGGCAGTTGGTGCTGGATGCGGGTCGTGTGGGCCAAACGGGAATGCATCGGGTGAACGAACGGAGGTGGCCGAGGCGCAGCACGACCCTCCACCCTCGCGTCTCGTGTCCGGTGGTGGGGGAGCCGAGGCGCAGCTTCGAGGGAGCGGCGCAAGAGGCCTCGCGCTGGCGCAACGTCCACTGCTGCCGAAGGCTCTACGACTTGGCAGGCGCTGGCGCAACGTGTTCGATGACGATCGTTAACGAGCGACGCGCGAGCGTTGCGATCCGCGAGACGAGATGGTTAGTGACGAGACGAGATGGCGACCCTGTTTTTTTTTTTTTTTGCGGCGCGAGAGTTTGGAGCAGAGATGGTTGAGAAAGCTGGAGCAGTATGGAATTACCCTGTAGAAAGTCAACAGAGTTGGTTTGAATGTTTTGAACTGTTTTTTTTTTTTTTTTCAGATGTTTGAGATGGTTCAGTGAGCAAACCCTTTTGTTTGCAGGATAGGCATTGCCTTGGGCCCCCAAGCAATTCATGTTTTCTTTCACCGCAGACGTCCATGTCTCCACCCCCGCCAGTCATCGATCCATGTCCTCCGGAACTGACCAAACAAGTTACTCTCCCTGGAACTGGTCCATGGAAGTGGACTTCACCACCTGTTGGTAGTAGAACATGGTCTTCCAAGAGGCCATTCTCCACTTCCATGTGAATTCCAGGGAGTGTAAAGGACCAGATGGTCACTTCTTATGTTTCCCTATGGATCCACATACCCTCTCTAGAGATCTGAGCTGATGTGTAACCGAAGCTTTTTTGAGATCGGTGCCAAAAAAGTCGGGTCCAGTGGTACCGAACCTGAGGTACGGTGCGGATCCCTATATAGTTACACGATGTTACACGTTTTTACAGATAAATAAATATTCTTGTTCAAACCATTTTCAACTGAAATTGTCCATCTAGACCCTTTGCTTGGGAGTGCAACTGTGTTTTGGTCCTGAGTTCGGCCTTCAAAACCAAGTTCGGCCGGTTGATCTTGCATTTTGTGTTTTGATGGATGTGCAATTCTATAGGTGATTCTTACCCAGACACTCCATGGGACTGCCATAGGACTGCCGATCAGTTGGGATGGTTTTGGGGGTCAATTGATCGGCGTATATGGCATTCCCATGGAGTGTTTGGGTTATGTACTACCCCACACTACCTATAGGTTTCCATTGGGCACCCCTTGGATGGTCCAGGTATGTTTGACATCCTGTTGTTGGACCATCCTGAGGTCTTTTGTCCGTGCAGATGAGCGAGAAGTTCTTGGTGCTTTTGGTGCGCCCGTGATGATTGCGCCATCTATTGCCATAGAGACCGGATGAAGCGGGGAACTTTTTTAAGAAACATAAAGTACATGCTACACATGCTGATCTCAAACTTGTGTTGAATGATCGGCAACAAAGATGTTGTTTAATCTTCAAAACTCCCATAGCTCTGCTTCTGAGGGACGTACGGAGTACGTCGCGTTTCGGTTCGCCTCCCTAAGCGTCTCGTTTCACACGTAACAAACGGATCCACAATGATCCACATACCTTGGGTCTGACCGAGGCACCCTGCGGGGAGAGGAATGGCACCCGGTCCATGGCCGGGGTTCGCTTTCAGGGATTCGATTGGGAACTCAATGACCAGAACTTGAGTCTGTCCGCTATTACCAGTAACTGTTAGTAAACATGTTTTGGGGAATCAAGGCCTTTGCCTTTACTAACCATCATCCACTGTTACTGGTAATTAGGATAGACTCAACACATACCCTCTGAAGGAGTCTGATTGGTGACATATTTGTTGAGATCGGTGCCTGGTCGTCGGGTCTGGTGGGTCCTAAGCCCGGAGATGGCGCGGGGGGGTCGCGCAATGACGTGAGCTTTGACGTCCTCACTTCCTTGGAATGCATGGGTTGAAACCCGGGAAAAAACCAACAAGCATAGTGTACCTGGAGTCACATGTTTGGGTGCCGAACTTGGAGGATAGGGGTGCCCAATATCCACTCATATATATATATATACAGTGTGATCTCACGAAGTCGCTATGGTCCAGTCTTCGATGGTTCATCTGAAGCCCCGTGCCCATTGGGTTCCATCAGGTACGAGGCCACTCCAATGATCATCCAGCCATGCACTCGATGGTGGAACAGATCTTGGCCCAAGGTCGGCGTGGGGTATGTGAGGCATATGTCTCTCTTCGGTCGGCGTGCAGTGATGATGTGTAAAGGGTTCGTGTTCTTCCAAACCAGGACATGTGGAGCCAGGCTTGCGCAGCAGTCGAGCGAAGATGGTGTTTTGGGGTCGGAAAGTTCAAGCATCGACCAGACGCGACGAATGGGACTGGCATAGGACTGCCGAGAAACGGCCAGGTGGTGGTGGTGCCAGGGGGGTCAATCGGCATCGCCAGAAAAACCAACAGTTGCGATCCAACAAGATCCAATGATCATGAGCCGGACCTGGGCTGGGCCTGGGCCCTGGGTGAGAAGGAACTCAGTGCTGCCGAGGTGATCAGTGGGATGCAGTGGGTTTTACAAATATCAATCATTTCCTGAGGATCAAGTTGCCCTCAGTATCGATAAGGCAGATAGAGTGGCAGATAGATATCCAAGTTCAAAAGGCTAAGAAGGAACTGCAAGCTGAACCTTCCCGACTCCCTACCTTCAAGCACACCAAATCCACCAGCTCTCCCCGAGCTGCATGAGGCTTTTCACCCGGTCCGTCCGCCGTCCTTGGTCCGAAGTCCGCTGGAGGCTCCTTGACGTTGAGCCGATCCTTCTTGGACGCCTTGACAGCGCAGTGCACGTCGGCCAACAACCAAGACACCTTGAAGATGATCCAGGCGAGTGGGTGGGAGAGAGGAATGCAGCAAGGGGGGAGCCAATGGGCCATCACCCATCAATTCATTCCCGGAAAGTGAGGCATTCCACCCCTACTGAGGGTCCGAGTGTCCTTCCAATTCCAACCTTGGAGTCCTCTCGTTTCGTCCCACTTGGCCTCTGGGGGTCCAACGATAGACCCTATCAGATCTTCCCTCGGCGACGGCAGGTGCACGAGAATTCCTTGGGCATTGACCTCCACCGCCAGGCGGCGGAGAAACAAACCCGGACGAGCCGCGTACGAAGTCGTAATCCGTGGTCGAACCGGAGGGCGGAAAGCATGCCATATCACTTGAATGGTGTGTGCATGTGCATGTGCATGTGTGTGCGAAAAAGAAACGATCAACCAACAGTTCCATGCCGGGGTGCCGAACGAACGGAGGAAGTCGGGGTGCTCCTGTCACATCCACGGCCCCTGGATGGGACCAGCCACACCACAAGTTGGTTCCTTAGGTATTTCAAATTGTCATCATCTTCCACTCCCCGCAAACAAGCATGGTTTACACCTCCGACGCAGTGATCCATAGCTGTCCCACACGGAATGGGTGGGACGTGGATTTGCAGATCTATTGCTGCCCCTTATCTTAAGGGTGCTACTCAAGGTATTACAGCAACACCGCCAGGCTCATTGATGCTATATCCATTTGCTTTGTCCATTTTCCCTATAGTGAATGTGTTTCAACCAACTGAACTTTGCATGGAACACCTGCCGCGGCAAGGCACGACTCATCAGCGGTTACGGAAAGGACTGGTTTGTGAGGATGGGATGGTCAGCTCATCGGTGGGATGGTCTCCTTGTTGTTGTTGTGTCGTTGTTGTTCGTCCTTGTGAGTACAAACCTTGGAAAAGGATCCCTCGAGTCACTCAAGTCACTCAAGTATCTGGGTGTAGCATGCTGTTGTATGGGTTCAGAGAAAGCACCCGACACCCGACACCCCTGCAAAAAAAACATCATGGAACTTCCAACAGGCTCTATATACAGGGAACAAAGACGCTACGAACGGGGCTCCTGGCATCGCTACTAGGAGCAAGGACTCTACTTTGTGGGTGGAAAGCCCATGGGCACGGTGCAGCAACATCATGGGGTTTGAAAGGATGGCGTTGCATTCGGGCTGGGCTGTGGGTGCTGGGGATTCAGAGCAGTTGTTGGAACACCGAACTCAGCTGGTGTCGAACTCAGTGGGTTGAGGCTAGTTCTACTTATCAGCATTTAGTGAGGTTAGTTCTACTGGCCAGATTTTGACCTTTCCACCACAGGCCACTTAGTATCTCCACGTCTTGGCCAGGAGGGCAACTTGGAAGCGGCTCTGGAGGCCTTCCTGAAGGTGAAGAACTCGTCGACTCCGCCCAATTCCCTGGTCCGGGCCTCCTTCCTCGAGAGAGCGAGACACGAGATGGATCGAGAGAGAGCGAGATGGAGAGTGCCGAGTGCGAGACGACGTGTGATGGAGAGGATGGTGGATTGAAGAGGATTGAACTGATGGCCATGATTCCAATGATCCCTCCAAATCTGGAGAGCAACACCCTGAAAGAGTCTGCTCTTTTCTTTGGCGGACCTGAAGTGTGGCACATCAGTGAAGCAAAACATTGAAGGCAATGGTTTGCTTCGTGTGAATCCATGTGAATCCCTTCGGGCTTTGTGAATCCATGTGCACAACTCCCCCTTGTTTTATGACCTCTTGAGGGAATTGACCTCGTTCTGGGATCTCACGCTCGGGTCGAAGGTCCTGGAGGAAACAGACCTTCACGTGCTGGTGAAACGTTTGGAAGACGTTGCGATTTCATTGTGATTCTGACATTCTGTCTCCGATTCACGGCCTTTGAGGTGCAGTGGAAGTCAGACAGTGGAAGTCTGCATGGAAGGATGTTCTCTTGTTTTTCGACAGCCTGACTATGCGCAACAAGTGCGTGTAAAGTATATATAATTGTATAGAGACATGAGTCATTGTTGCCCTTTGAAGCCCCTTGACTCCTTGACTCCTTGACCCGAAGCCGATTACTTGAAGGCTTGGGTGTTGACACATCTCGAGAATCACGAAGGCCCTCTTGGGGTGTGAGCCTTCCAGTCACAGAATCTAGGTCACTCCCTTCCAAGTCAGGTCTACAACTGCTTGTTGGACGCGCTGATCGAGTGCAAGGCCTTCCCACGGGCCTTGGATTGCTTCGAGGAGATGCGAAAGATGCTTGGTTGTGGCATGCTGTGGAGAGGGGCCTCTAGCGGCTCATCACTTTTGGGGGTCAGGGGCAGTGAGCTGGTGTGGAAATCCGTTCGTATTTGTGGTGAATCCCCTACAGCTGCAACTCCCCGCATGACCTTGCGAGCAAGAAGTTGTAGCCCCACAAATTCTGCAAACTCAGTCTAGGAATTCAAGGGTTGGCGGCGCTGCTGTGATTGGATCTTAGTCCTGCTGTATGTATGTTGCTAGATGTGGTTGGTTTGGAATCCGTGCGCAGTGATTGCAAACACATCCATACACATCCCTGGCTGGAGATCCAGTAGGAGGCTTCAAGGGCTTCCAGCCAAGTCACCCCCTGATTTTGGAATATGTTGGAACGTGCTGGTCAGTGTATGTATATATGTTTTGCTCACAAGTGGCTATCGTTTGCACCAAGTTGCTCACTCACCTCGTCTCCAAGAATGAGCCTCACAGGCCACCCACGAATGGCCTTTGCAGTTGACATGTTCTATTTGTTGCTTGGATACTTGTCCACATCCACCACGAAAAACTTGAAGGAGGTGCTGCATTGCGTGCCACTTTAACCGTTGTGTAGCATGTGTAGTGCGGATCTTCTTGATCCACCGCAAATCGATGTGCACCGCGGACCGCAAATGGTGTGTGAGCACTGCCTTGCAGAGGGCCACCGGCAAACGAGAAGGAGATCACTTGTGAAGTTGAAAGGCTAAGCACGAGCTCTTCAGAATTCTGTCGTGGAAGAGCGCAAGTTGGAGAAATGAGATGTCGGCCGCGTTGCCCCGATCACATGATGGATGAGTTGTGCACGATGAGCCGCGGCTCTTGGACCCGGATCCACTGGCCCTCCTCTGAGGTGAAGGCGAGGAGGGAGACACTTTATGATAAAACAGGTGCCAGGAAGGTCCAGTCGTACCTTCGTTTCGAAGGTGGCAATGGATCCCTAGGGAGACCATCAAGGACCAGAGCCGTCACCTGGTATCATCAGGTATCCAGTGGGTTGAT